TTTATATTTTTTTTTTTTAGAATAGAGTTTTTGTTTTTCCTAATATGGGGGGGGGGGGGGGGGGCTTACCCTGCCATTTATTTTGTAACCGAATCTTAGGAAATGGACAAGGAATAATTATTTTTCCCCTCCCAAAAACTACATGGTTTAGAGCTACAGTTTTGCCAAGCTCAACTCATTGCCATAGGGGCAGTGCACTGTCCTTTCTCGTAGGCACAAGGAGCTCTCTTCTCTTCTTTTCGAACAAGATCGCAATACTGTTCTCTTATCCTTGCCCTCTTCTCGCTTCAATTCATTCAGGGGACGAAGCGCTCCAGGCACTCGACTCGGCGATGAGACTTTCTATAAGTTGTCACGGCTTTGCACTTGCCACACTCATGGCGCATCCTTTGGCGGACGTTTCTTAGCAGCGATCAATTCAACCGACTTCTCTATTGCAACTTTAAGCACCGAAAACACTTGAACAATATTGACTTGGGTTTCCATCCCGTCCTTTTCTCTACTTTGATGATGTCATATAAGTCGATGTTGTTTAGCTCAAAAAAAAAAATTGTTTCTACTGATTCCATTAATTCCGAAATCACTGCACCCTACCCATGGTGACGTGGAGCTTGCTTGGTGATCCACCTAAAAATTACCTGTTTTTAGTTTACATTCCATGCTCATTTTATGCATATTTTTAATGATATTACACTTTAAAGGAAGATATTTTGCAAATTTTTGTCTACGGGCACAAGAAATAGACTTTTGGTGAAATTAAAGCAAAAACAGTGCAATTTGGAGCGCAAAAACAAAATTAAAGCAAAAACAGTGCAATTTGGAGCCAAATTGAGCAAAAAAGAAAATTCTGATCAGCGCATTTCGATATGACTTTCCATGCTTAATCTCCTTCATATTTATTCTATGTTTGTGAATAAAATTAAACTTTAAAAAAAGGTTGTTTTCATGTCTATCATGTAGGTATACCAATCTGGAGCACAAAGGAACTGAAATGGGTCGAAACAGAGTAAAACTAGGCGAAACAGTGGAGTTGTGTGCAGGGTGGCACTATAGCGCTCGTGACGGTTATTGCACAACTTTTGGGTGATTTTGGGCCATTCCGGGATGTTCTGGAAGCTTCTGGGCAAATTGCACGTCCCATGAAGTGATTCAATAAATCTAGACACTTGGAAAGACTCTTGGATGAAGAAAAATGTCTCTTGGAATGAAATGATGTGTCTCGTGGATGAAGAGATGTGTATCTTAGATAAAAGGAGTTTTTATTTCTTTATAAATACGTGGATGAAGAGATGTGTATCTTAGATAAAAGGAGGAGTTTTTATTTCTTTATAAATAGGGGGGCTGATGCCTCTCATGAGGAGAAATTAGGAAGTAATTAGGGGAGTTCAGAGAATTCATTAGGAAGTGTTTTAGGAGAAGTTTGGCGTGAGTTTATGAGATGTAGATTTCTTCATTTTATGGAGAGATTGGTGAGGGATTTTGAGAGGTATGGGCAAGGAAGTATGAGCGGCACATGGATCAACATGAGACTATGTTAGAGAGATTTTTTTTTATTTCTTTCAAAGGGAAAAAACTAAGTATTATGTTCTTCATGTCTTTGTAATTGTTGTAAACACTTTCTAGTGGATTTTATTTGATTTAATGAAGTTTTTTATTCTGTTTTATTCATAATTTGTAAGTAGTTTGCTTTACTCTTTTCTTTTAATATGAAGTAGTGTCTTTTAATATGAAGTAGTGAAATATGAAGTAGTGACATGTGTAGGAAAAATTATTTTATGATAGAATTATTTTTATTTTCATGTGATGAGTAATATCTCCTTTGCTTCGTTGACATAACTTAAGTCATGTTAAAATCTATTGTAAGTGAAACTAAGAATTGGAAGAGCAGTGATCTTGCAACTTGAGTGCACTCACATTGACCGGTTGACTAGTAAAATAGTTAGGCGGCAATGCAACTTTTAAGAAAATATAATTTAATGGTCTGTTTCTATTAGATGCTTCTAGGTGACAGATAATTGCGTAAAATTAATAGAAAACTAAACATACCTATATGCTCGAAAGAGGGTAGGTAGACATAGGGTAGGTAGACATATGTTTGGTAGACATATGTTTTTTGTTGGCACATAACTTATTACTTAATTCTATCAATTCTTTTTACTGATGATGCCATTATCCTCATTTTACTTTTCTTTTGTAATGAAATAAATGCATGTTTAGTAATTTAGATTTATTTAGATATTCTCTTATTTAATTAATATGATGATATATTCACCGGCTTTTAATTGAATTTGCAAACTGATCACTTGTGAGGTTAAATCCCGTAGAGAATCATAATGACCCGGGAGGACTATAATTTCACCCAATTAGTGAGTACCACATTTCATCGTAGGTAGAACCATTGCGATCACCTGAGGGGAGTGCAAATAGATAGAGAGATAAGTTTTGATGGACGTAAAATTGTTAGATCTAGAGTGACAAACTAGATTCTTATCAATATGGCTTAAGATTTAGTACCCGACGCTGAGATTCGGCCATCATGGTGGCATAAGCTAGGGGCATCTAGAGGTGAGAGGCTAGATCATTGATATGGAATCGAGATGTTAAGGAATCTGTCTTAAGTTAGCCAATGTTCTTTGCAAACACAGGGTGGGGGTAAAGAATATGTATGCTTCTATTTGTCACTGACAACATTATATTTTAAGCATTTCATTCCTTCAGATTATCTAGGTCATTGCACGAGAAGGCTAGTCTTTAACATCTCAAAATTCTTCAAACCAATTTATCCAAATAAGTTATCTTTAGAATTAATATTTACATTTAGAAATAGTTGTTATCCTTACATTTATTATTTTCATTTAGGAGTAGTTACAAAACCACTTTAATCGATATTCCAAACTAAGGTCTGATAGTAGTAAACTAAAATTAGCCTAAGAGATTTCTTACCTCGCTTCTCTATGGGATCGATACTTGGTGTCTTTAAAGAAAACCCTATATTACTTGAAACGATACGTATACTTGCGTAGAACCATTAGTGTGAAATATAAATCAAATTCTAAATTTTATAAAATATTATTTTGCACACTAGCCGTTTAAATATAAATTGAGTCAAGTTTTTGACCATCTTTCAGATCTTAAAAATCTACGTAATTGCGGGTCGGGTTATTTGGACTGAACTAAGCAGTTCAGCAACAGGCTTGTACCGGTCCAGCAGGGAGGTTCGACTGAATCGGTCGGTGCTTCTTAGGGCAAGGGTTGCCCCCTCTCCCCTCCTAGTTATTATAAATATTTTGTTTGATGTTTTAGGGTTCATTTTTGGTTGAGTCCCTATTCAAGCTTGTTGTTGGCAACTATCTTCTTGTCTAGGATTTTATCCGAGGGCGAGAAGGTGCTCCGGATGTAACTCGTTCGAGGTGTGACCTTCTTCAAGGGTTCAAGGGGTGTTTCGGCTGTAGATCGCTCGCGCGGGGATAATTATCTGTTATGAATCCCCCTTTGTTCTCGTACGCCCCTATCCCTCTACTGTCTGCAGTCCTAAGCCTACGCCTCCTCTCTATTCCATCCACCGATCCCCAATTACCCTAACTGTTGCCATCACAAGCTCCGCAAGCCGCCTGACACAGGGCTCCTGGGGGGCTGACCAGGCGTAGGTCCAACCCCATCTGGACCGCTAGTCCCCTTGGAGGGGGGCCCCACTGCCCCCTCCATCTGGACCGCTAGTCCCCTTGGAGGGGGGCCCCATTGCCCCCTCCTACTTCTTTTCCTTTCTTTTTCCTCCCCTCATTGTTTTCCATATTTCTTTATTTCCTTACTTGCCTCCCTAAACCTTTCCTAATTTTATAACCTTTCATAAAACTAAAATATGATTTTATTCTCCTTCTAATTTTAAAAGCCTTGCATTAAATTTGAAATATGGTTTAATTTTCTTCCCTATTTTAAAAGTCTTGCTTAAATTCTGAAATCTGAGATTATTCATTTCCTATTTTAATGTTTCCTAAAGTTGAGTCATTTCTTAATAAAATGATGTTCTTATGTCTAGGGTAAGGTTCATATCTTCAAAATCAGATTTTAGTTTATCTAAATATTTTCCCTCTCGAAGGGTTGTATTGGACGACGAGGAAGGTGCTCTGGCTCTAACCCCATCCGAGGTGGCGTTTATCTTCCTTACTCTTACCACGAGCCGCTGTCCTGCAGTCCACCATTGCTCCAATCCTCCTCTAGCCCAATCTGCCACCTCCCTGCCCTCCTATAGTCATCTGGTTATTTTTGCTTCCTAATCCAGACCACCGGCCAGTTGCCCTGTCTCCTCATAGCTGACTGGCAACTCCTGACAGTCCTCCCTGATTAGTGCCGACCTCCAACAGACAGCCTCACTGTCTCCCTGTTGTCTTGCCAAAGCACCACAACCCTCTGCCGCCTCCCTAGACCGCCGAGAATCCCCTTCCCCTACAGCTTCCTTACAGGGTCGCAGCTCCTACTGCCTCCCACACAACAGCCCGCAACCCTTCTCCATCGCTGTTCTGCTCCTCTGCTCCCCTGCTCCGACCGCCTTTTGTGCCTG